GCGAGCATGCATGCGAAAATGGAGGCGTGTGTCATCATTACGTTTGATTTTGAACGATCTTAAAGGATGCATGACGAAAATTGAAGCAACTCAACTACCCCACTTTAATGTCAAGAGTTAGAAGAACGTACAAGAAAATAAAGACTAAATGGTACGTATACCAACTTACTCCGAAATGTGTTGTCTTTGGATAACAATCCATCATCAAGGGGAATGGGTTGCCTCTCAATTAGATAGTCAGTGGCAATTATGGGACCATGATTTTCAAAGGTCAAAGTATGGCTAATCTGTTGGAAATGTGCCCTAAAACCAATCATATGATGATACTTTACGAACATTTCACAAGTTAAACTAATGTAGTTTAAATATAAAGGGCAAAAGGTTATTGTTTGAGTCGTCTCATATACATGTTATATGCTTAAACGATAAGTCCAAGGAATATGTGATTGGGAGAATGCAATCTAAAGAAGTTAGATTCATGAGACCATTCTTTCGTATACATATCCTAAACGTTCCTGATCATAGGATTGCCAATTGGGCATTGACAGTCCGTTAAGATCAGTACGTGCTGTGTCTTCTCTCAGGGAGAGTGACTAGTCTCGAGTCATTGGTGTGTGTGACATCAAGACAAGTACGTAGGTGCTCAATAGAGAATGAGTTCACTGAACACGAGAAGAGTTCTCATATTCATGTCACATGAGAACTCATGGTTGGGATAATGCAAAGTAGTCCTTTGACCTGAGGCATCATAGTTGTCGTATGGTTAAGTCCTTGATCTTTGATTATGTTAAAGTCACTCCATTCGAGGGTGTCCACGGCATAGTTGGGGTTAAGCCAGTTAGCCATGGAGGCAAGTGAATGCGCAACAAGGGATCTCTAACCTTCAAACCGTTTGAGGGAGAATATTCTATGATATGATTAAGAATTTCTGATCAGAGTATGAATGAGATTTAGGAAGTTCCAAATCACATTCAAGGTAATCATATAAGCACACGAATCACATTGGATAGTAGACATGAATAAACTATCAAACCAAACAATGTGGTCAAGAGTATTGTATTAGAGAAAGACCGTATTGCATTTGTAATCCTAAACTGAATAGGTTCTCCACCTCTTCTGATTAGCTTGGGTAACCATGATATGCTGCTAGGTGTCACTCATGGTTTGTGGAAGCCCTAAACGTGTATAATCACTAAAGGGAGAATTGAAAGTAAGTTTCAATTCACAATCGATTTGAAATGGTTTTAATCGCCCACTGCCTCGCTAAAAGGAACCTAATGGATCGTACACCGTGTATGGTGGAGATTGAAGAAACAATGGAGATGAGTAAGAATAATTAAATGGTTTAATTATTTATGGCAAGGATTAATTAATATGTTAATTAATCAAACGAATAAGTTCGTTGAAGACCTTGGGATAGTTTTGGACCTTAAGGCCCAATGGGCTTCGAACGTCAAAGCCCATGGACTTAAGTTGTATGACAACTTAATGAATAAAGATTCACAAGGGCCCAAAAGCCCAAATCCCTCAATTGGCCGGCCATGTTAAAAGAATGGCTTCTTGGTTCTTTAGGTCACTTATTTGAAGGGACTATATAAAGGACTTTATAGCCTAAATTCATTAAGGGTTTCTTTTGGAGAAAATTGGAGAGAACATGTCTCTCCCTTTCTCTCTAAAGAGGCCGGCCCCCTTGGAGGGATTAGCTAGCAATCCAACTCCTCCAAGGTCACTCATTTATTCTCCAATCTAACCTTGGTGTAGAGACTTAGAGGTTCTCAATTTTGGGAACTTGGAGAACCATTTCATCCATCCAAATCCATAGATCTAAGATGCAAGGAATGAAGGCCCTCTCTTTGGGTGATTAGCCTTTGCTTATGCAAAGAGGTATCTACAAAGGTATAAATATCTCAACTCACTTTGTTTTGAGTTGAGTCTTGGTTCACCAATCTACTAGGCTTTGAATTTCATGGGTAATGTTTTGTTTTGAGTGCATTCAAGCATGTTTCCGCCTTTTAATTGTTAATTGCATGCTATAGATGTTGCTTAAATGAACATGTTTTTCACAAAATTTCCTTCATAATTTGAATACAGTTACCTTAAAAGTCTAGTTATGGACTCATTAGCTTCGAACAAAGCTGTTTTAGACAGAGCAGCAGTGCCACCGTCACCTTGTTCTACTGTAATAGGTAAAGTCCGTGTGACTTTGCTGGATGACTATGCTTGATCTGCAAGACACGTGATCTGATCTGGATATGGACTCAATCAGATTCTATAAGTCTTAGAGTTCCTTCAATCTAGGGATTGGCGTGCGCAGCAAGTAATCACAAGTCCTAAGAGGGTGTAATATATACTTCTGGATATTATATAAGAGTCTCCTAGTTTAGAACGATGATTCTATCCTTAAAAAGGTCACTCTCCCATAATATAAATATACCCATCTAGGGTTCATCTACAGTAACACAATCTAAACACTTCAATTCTCTAGCCCATAACTTGAGTCTCAAATCATTCACTAGCTTGACCGTCAGAGAGCCTTTGGCTGGTATACCTCCCCCCTAATCATAGTCACGATTGTTTATTGTTTTGAAGGTTGCTCGAGTTTGTGCATAATCACTACTCCCAATGGTGCGCAAATTTGGTTCCAACATCTTTGATATCTAGATTGTATAAGGTGAGATATTTTGAGGACTCTGATTTCATGCATGCTACTGAGGGTGTTGCACCTTTCCATACATGGTGCTCCAGTTTGTGGGGAAGGGAATTATTGAAAGGTGTCTAGTGGCGTGTTGGGGATGGACAGTTAGTCTCTGTGTATGGTGATCTTTAGGTCCCTCATGCACGAATTTTTTTTAGGAATGGACAGTTAGTCAAATCCTTCTCTCCTATTGCATTTTAAAGTAAATGAACTTATTATGAACAATGGCTTCTAAAATGTTGCAAAAATTTATGAGGCCTTTGATTTTGAGGAGGCGGAAGCTGTTGGAAATGTACCCTAAAGCCAATCATATGATGATACTTTACGGACATTTCACATGTTAAACTAATCTAGTTTAATATAAAGGGCAAAGATTATTGTTTAAAGCCGTCTCATATAAATGTTATATGCTTAAACGATAAGTCCAAGGAATACGTAATTGGGAGAATGTGATTTAAAAAAGTTAGATTCATGAGACCATTCTCTTTCCTATACATATCTTAAACGTTCCTGATCATAGGATTGCCAATTGGGCATTGACAGTCTGTTAAGATCAATACGTGCTATATCTTCTTTTAGAGAGAGTGACTGGTCTTGAGTCATTGATGAGTCCACTGAACGCGATCAACAAGGAGTTCTTATACTCGTGTCACATGAAAACCCATGGTTGGGATAATGCAAAGTAGTCCTTTGACTTGAGGCAACATAGTTGTCTTATGGTTAGATCCTTGATCTCTGACTATGTCAAAGTCACTCCGTCAAAGGGTGTCCATGGTATAGTTGGGGTTAAGCCACTTAGCCACGGAGACAAGTGAATGCACAATAAGGGATCTTTAACCTTCAAACCGTTTGAGGGAGAACACTCTATGACATGATTAAGAATCTCTGGCCAGAGTATGAATGAGATTTAAAAATTCATTCCGAATCAAATTCAAGGTAATCATATATGTAAGAGAATCACATTGGATAGTAGACATGAATAAACTATCAAATCAAACAATGTGGTCAAGTGTATTGTATTAGAGAAAGACCGTATTGCATTGTAATCCCAAACTGAATAGGTTCTCGACCTCTTCTGATTAGCTTGGGTAGCCATGATATACTACTAGGTGTTACTCATGGTTTGTGGAATCCCTAAAGGTGTATAATCACTAAAGGGAGAATGGAAAAGTAAGTTTCAATTCACAATCTATTTGAAAAGTTCTAATCGCCCATTGCCTCGCTGAAAGGAACCTAATGGATCGTACATCGTGTAAGGTAGAGATTGAAGAAACAACGGAGATGAGTAAGGATAATTAAATGGTTTAATTATTTATGGCTAGGATGAATTAATATGTTAATTAATCAAACGAATAAGTTCATTTTAGAACTCATGTTAGTTTTGGGCCTCAAGGCCCAATGGGCTTTGAATGTCAAGTCCAATAACTCAAGTTGTATGACAACTTGAAAACACAAAGGGCATGAAAGCCCAATGAACCCACATGGCCAGCCATAGAGAGTGTGAGGGAGAACTGGTTTTAATTTGGATTATGCCACTCAAGGTAAGTGGCTATAAAAAGGAAATTATAACCCATTCCCTCATAAGGGGTTTTTTAGAGAAAAAAGAGAAAAACACAAGCTCTCTCTTCTCTTAGAAGGCCGGCCACCCTTGGAAGAATGGACTAGCATCTATATCTTCCTAGGTCACTCATCTCTTCCTCAATGCTCTCCTTGGTGTGGAAACTTAGAGGTTCCCTTTCTTGGGAACTTGGAGAATCCATTCCTTCATCCATATCCAAGAAGTCATGGAGCCAAGAAACAAAGTTCCTCCATCCACATTCATGGAGCCAAGGAGCAAGGAGACTAAGGAAAGAAGGCCCTCACATGGGTGAATATCCTTTGCTAAGCAAAGAGGTGCTTCAAAGGTATAAAAGTTTCTCAACTCTTTTCTTTAAGATTTGAGTTGAGTCTTGGTTCACCACAACTACTAGGCCTTGAATTTCATGGGTAATGTTTTGTTTTTGAGTGCATACAAGCATGATTCCGTCTTTAATTGTGAATTGCATACATAGATGTTTCTCAAATGAACTTGTTTTCACAAATTTTTCCTTCAGAAGCAATTTTATCCATCGCCCTACGGGGTGACTAAGATTTTACCAATGATGGAAACACTTATATCTAGATGGGTGGTCGAAAACTTGGCATGGTTTTGGTGTAATGGAATAGTGGAATCGATAATGCAGGTAGTCAAGGTATTGCACCATGAGTAAAAAATTGTTACTCTTTATGGGTTTGTTGAGTTCAGTTGTGTGTAGTTCAGTGGACAATGGAGTGGTTGATTAATGCAGGGGAGATTCTACTGAATCCAAAACAACAAGTTTTCATCATTTATTTGTGGTTACTCTGGAATGCACCGGAAAAAAAATATTTTGAGAATGAGGTTCCAGAGATTAAAGCTTTAAAAAGGACGACAAAGAACTATGTGGATGATATCAATTGTACTTGTACTGTTTCCCGTAGGGGTCCTTCTTTGTCACTCAAGAATAATAACGTTTGGTTTCTTCCAGATGAAGGTTGCTTTAAACTTAATGTAGATGGTGATGTTGGAGTTTTGAATGGCACACGTGGTATAAAGGCGGTGATCCGTAATGAAGAGGGAAGTCTTGTAGGGGCAATTGCTATGCCGGCCCCCTCCCTCATCTCTGTTCTTGCTATCAAATTATATGCCATTGGAAAGGGATTGGAGTTTGCTATTGACTTGGGTTGCATTTCACTGATAGTCAAAACTAATTCTCTAAATGCAGTTCAACTTGTTCAGAGTGATGGAAATTGTTTGGCTATAGACAGGGTCTTTTTGGATAGGATTCGAGATTTAATCGAAGCGCATCAAATTACGGTTTCCTATGTACCAAGGGAAGCTAACTTTGTGGCGCATAGATTAGCATGTTATAGCTTACAATGTCGTGAGTCCTCGTTTTGGGTTGAGTCTGGGCCACCATGGCTTGTAAAAAGTATCGTGGCTGAGTCCGGGGAAATGGTTTATTTAAAGTGCTTATGTAGAGACTCTTTTTCCTTGGCTAAGGTTTTTACCACTGGTTTACTTAGTTAAGGTTTTTTTTTCAGAGACTTGTCCCATTTATATGCGACTGATGTAATTGTTATGATGTTGAGTATTGAATGAAATCATCCATCCATACAAAAAAAAAAAAAAAAAAAAAAAAAAAAAACAAAACAAAACAAAACAAAACAAAGACATTGTCTTCATTTAAACATTTATGGTACAATTTTCAAGAGTGCATGTCAGAATCCAGAACATCTCAACTACTTTACAATATTAACAAGGCTGAATTGTCACGTGTGAAAATAACTCAACAATATGTATTCCGATTTACTCCAAAAGGTATGGTCCTTGGATAACTATCCATTCTCAAGTGATCATAGACTTAACGACTATGATCTTATCAAGCTGCATAAACAGATCAGTGATGCAATCATTATCTAGTTTCAGATAAGTGAGTGAAGGTCGTCAACTTCGTTGAGATTAACCATTCTTGTTCACAAAATACGAAAACCTGATCAGGTATGGAATTATCAAGATTTCTATATTCTTGGAGATTCCTATAATCTTGGGCTTTGGTGTGGACCATAAATAATCACACTCTTAAGAGGATAATATCTATTCCTAGGTATCTTATGGGATTCTCCTAGTTTAATATGAATTATATATCCTAAAAAGGCTCCCTCTTGACTAGTATAAATACATCTTCCTAGGGTTCATCTGGTAACGCAATTATCGTATACTTATTCTCTTGCCTACTGTTTGAATCTTAAACTGCTTATTAACTTGACTGTCGGAAAGCCTTTGGTCGGCACCTCACTGGTGGTGCACAAATTTGGATCTAACACCAAAAGTGCAAAAATTTGGTTCCAACACTATGGGCGCTTTGGGTTAGAAGATTTAGGCATAGTTGCTTAAGTACCGTTGCTGGCCTTTTACCAAACCCTGCACATGTTCAGTAGATCTTGACGATGGCATACAAAAGCTTTCCCTAAATTTTCATTGCGCACCTTAACCATTGAAGGGTCGCAAAGCGAGTCATAGTTGGTGGTAGTGACAGAAATGACACTGGAAGAAGCCATTTATGATTTGAAGAGTTTAGGAAAGGAAATCAAAAGTGGGGATTTCAAGAAAAAAGAAGAAAAGACTGTAATTTTACAAGAAAAAGTTAAAAGCTTGAACCAGATTGTCATGCCTCAAGATTTACGAATCCGAAGAGCCAAAATACATACAGAAAAACAATTCCTCATTTCTCTCACACACACAACTAATAAATCCCCATTATTGCTATATTTATGGGACAGCTCTCAAGATCACATGCCTGAATCTGGAACGCCTTAACTACTTCATAGTGAAAACAAGGTCGGATTGCCAAGTGTCAGAAGAATTTTGAATGTATTCCGATTTACTTTGAAAGGCATTGTCTTTGGATAACTATTCATCCTCAAACAGAACAGCCATTTCACATACATAATTAGAGGCAATTGTGGAACCACAATTTTCCAAAGCTAGAGTAAGATGGATCGCAATATGTATACCACAGAAGTCTAGTCATATGGACTCAACAACTCTAGACCTATCAAGCTACACAAATAGACTAGTGATGCCACAATTATCAAGTGTTCTGGAAAAGTAGGCGAAGTCCGCCGACTTCAATGAGATTAACCATTTTGTACCGCAAGGTACAAAAAAGTTGAGATCATATAAGTTTCCAATATTCTTAGAGATTCCTACAATCCATGGATGTAATATCTACTCCTAGATATCCTATTGAATGCAATATCTGTTGGAAATGTGCCTTAAAGTCAAACATATGATGATACTTTACGGACATTTCACATGTTAAACTAATTTAGTTTAATATAAAAGGAAAAAATTATTGTTTAAAATCGTCGCATATAAATGTTATATGCTTAAATGATAAGTCCAAGAAATATGTAATTAGGAGAATGTGATCTAGAGAAGTTAGATTCATGAGACCATTCTCTTTTGTATACATATCTTAAACGTTCTTGATCATAGGATTGCCAATTGGGCATTGAAAGTGCGTTAAGATCAGTACGTGCTATGTCTTCTCTTAGAGAGAGTGACTGGTCTCGAGTCATTGGTGTGACTAACACCAAGATAAGCATGTAGGTGCTTAATAGAGAATGAGTCCACTGAATGCGATCAACAAGGAGTTCTCATACTTAGGTCACATGAAAACTCATGGCTGGGATAATGCAAAGTAGTCCTCAGACATGAGGCAGCATAATTGTCTTATGGTTAGGTTCTTGATCTTTGACTATGTCAAAGTCACTCCATCAAAGGGTGTCCACGACATAGTTGGGGTTAAGCCACTTAGCCATGGAGACAAGTGAATGCACAACAAGGGATCTATAACCTTCAAACTGTTTGAGGGAGAATACTCCATGATATGATTCAAGGTAATCATATAAGTAAGAGAATCACATTGGATGGTAGACATGAATAAACTATCAAATCAAACAATGTGGTCAAGAGTATTGTATTAGAGAAATACCATATTGCATTGTAATCCCAAACTGAATAGGTTCTCCACTTCTTTTGATTAGCTTGGGTAGCCATGACATACTACTAGGTGTCACTCATGGTTTGTGGAAGCCCTAAAGGTATATAATCACTAAAGGGAGAATTGAAAAGTAAGTTTCAATTCACAATCGATTTGAAGAGTTTTAATCGCACGTTGCCTCGCTAAAAGGAACCTAATGGATCATAATCCATGTAAGGTAGAGATTGAAGAAACAACGGAGATGAGTAAGGATAATTAAATGGTTTAATTATTTATGGCTAGGATTAATTAATATGTTAATTAATCAAACGAATAAGTTTGTTTTAGACCTTGGGTTAGTTTTGGGCCTCAAGGCCTAATGGGCTTTGAATGTCAAGTCCAATAACTCAAGTGGTATGACGACTTGGAAACACAGAGGGCATGAATGCCCAATGAACCCACATGGCTGGCCATAGAGAGTGTGAGGGAGAACTAGTTTTAATTTCAATTATGCCACTCAATGTTCGTGGCTATAGAAAGGAAAATATAACCCCTTCCCTCACAAAAAAGGGTTTTCTAGAGAGAAAAGAAAAAAAAAACACAAAAGCTCTCTCTTCTCTTAGGAGGACGGCCACCCTACAAAGAATGGACTAGCATCCATTTCTTCCTAGGTCACTTATCTCTTCCTCAATGCTCTCATTGGTGTGGAAACTTAGAGGTTCCCTTTCTTGGGAACTTGGAGAATCCATTCCTTCATCCATATCCAAGAAGTCATGGAGCCAAGAAGTAAAGTTCTTCCATCCACATCCATAGAGCCAAGGAGCAAGGAGACTAAGGAAAGAACGCCCTCACATAGGTGAATATCCTTTGCTAAGCGAAGAGGTGCTTCAAAGGTATAAAAGTTTCTCAACTCTTTTCTTTAAGATTTGAGTTGAGTCTTGGTTCACCACAACTACTAGGCCTTGAATTTCATGGGTAAAGTTTTGTTTTTGAGTGCATACAAGCATGTTTCCGCCTTTAATTGTTAATTGCATGCATAGATGTTACAATCATGATTCCGCCTTTTGGGTTTTGTATTTTTATAGTTTATGATTTGAATGTTGTAATTGTTACAAGCTTTATTCTTGCTTCTTTGAATGTAAATTTTGTTAGAAAATTTGGCATCTCAAAAGTAGTAGATGTACTTCATTTAAGCATGAATTTTGGAGCTAAAATTTGGTGCCATGTTTGTGGGGACATTCGTCCAAATCCATGGGGTGGATTTTTGGGTTCTTGTTTGTCTTGTTAAAAGTGTTTTAAAGTGACATTAGGAACCCCAAAGTACCCTAGGATGTTAAGCCTCTTTTGAGTAAGTGAAAATTTGAGTTTTATTGAGTGAAAACATTAATGGAGCTCTTATGGGTTTTCGTGGATGTTCTTCAATGTTCTTGCTTTGTTCTTGTTGTTCATACCAAGAACAAAAAGTTTGTTGTTCATACCAGGAACAAAACGTTTGTTGTTATGATTCAAAAAGGGTGTTTGGTTGTTTATTTGTTTTGTTAGTGATGGATGGTATGTTTTTTCAAACGACACCCATACCCTTTTTACTATTCACACCATACCAATCACTTACAACTTTCAATCACCTTTCAAACACACAAATCAACTCACACACACCATCACTACTCACCATGACCAGCCACCCCTATAATGGGGGTACCATTAGGGCTTTTATGCAGTTACATAAAGTTTTGATACTTTTGTGTCCTTGCACTTTGACCTGAAAGTTTACATCTTTACGTAAAGGCCAAAATCACTAAAGGACAAATTGTTTTGCTCCTTTAATGAAGTTTTTGTTTTTGTTGAAATTTTTTGGGTTCTAATTGTAATTACATGAAGTAGTGGACTTTTGTGTTTTTACAAAGTGACCTCAAAAGTTTGTATTTTGCAATATAGCCCAAAAGTTGAGGTTATTGCATTTTAGCCCAAAATAGTTGAGAACAAAATAGTTTTGACTCTTTAAATGAGAATTTGATTTTCATTTCATTTAGCTCCATTTAAATCTATTCTATGGATACAAAAACCAAATGACAATGTTACATTCAAGTTTAATTAGTTAAAGCATTAATTAATTAAAGAAAGGGTGATTATAAACCTAAGCCTACGATAATTGAGCTGTGTGAAAGACCGTCTCTCAAATTGTTTGAACCATGGTAATGTGTAGATTAGTTTTTGGTTGTAATTTGATATGATCAAATGTTGTAAAAGAGCATAAGCTCTTCTTTACTTAAAAGTATTTTTATTTGATCAAATGTTGTAAAAGAGCATAAGCTCTTCTTTACTTTGAAGTACTCCTCTCTTGTTTTATTTGACATGCATGAAATTGGAGTAGTTGGGTCAAGGGATGGGCAATGGTTATGGTGGGCAAGTAACCGCGGTTATTTATCCATACCCATTTATTCTCATACCAGTATAACCATTTACCTGTTGGGTAATTGCCTAAACGGTTATACCCATACCCATAACCGTTTATAAATGGTTAACCATACCCATAACCGTGTAC